TGTTGTTAGCGTAACACTTATAGCCCCTACCCAGGTCGGCCATTTCTGAAATGCGGATTCTGCGGATTTTGCGGATTCAGGTTAAATCCGTCTGAACGTGAAAGCGAGCAGTTGTCAGTCGACGATGAATGACACGACGATGAATGACATGTAACAACATGCTTTAGTATCTTTTTGCCTAAATTTAAATTTTAAAACCTGATGCAACTATTTGTTGCATCAGGCTTTAAAGAGTGCAATATCTCTCATCATGCCAAACTTTTAAGGAAAATAAGTCACAAAGTATGACTAAGATGAGGGTAGGCCTAACTGGTGATTTGCTTAATGCCTGCCTAAGTCGCAGAGATTCGGGCCTAGAGTTACTATTAATTACGCTCGGCTGCGTAGTCATACAGTTACTCAATTAGGATTAGGCCTAGGCCTACAGTTTATTTATTAACAAGATAAACAATACATGTACATTAAATTTAGGGCCTGATAGATGGAAGAAGTACATTTTTGCCATTTGCAATGGGAATGCGTAATTTGTCTGAATAAAAGAATGAAATAGGCCTGGCCATAATCATTGGAAAATGCAGTCATCCGTGTTTGGAAACAATTCTGCTTGGACGTTGTCATATTTCGTTATTATTCGCTTAGTAAACTAAAAATTATTATTATTATTAGTAAACTAATTTGAAAACTTTTTTGTTTGCAAAATCGCTTTAATTGGGTTAATTGTTCACTGCGCCTTTGATAATGTTTTTTGAATTGGTGCGTTATAAATTTCTGCATATTATTATTTTATTATTAGTACATTCCATTTCCATTCAACCTATTTTTGTTATTACAATTAGTTAATAAAAATTGCTGTTAAATATTATTATCAAGGGTGTTCGCCGATTCTGTTTCTTTGTACAACATCATAAATATGGTAATATCCAATAAATTTGTATTCCGAACATATGATGAGTGCATGTTATCTGGGTTATTTATAGCTTGAATGGACATTGCCCAAAACCCTACACATCCCCCACCGGTTTGATCCAGACATGGCATGCCGAAGGTAGCCTAACGCATTAGGCTCTACCAGGAATACCAGAAAGTACACAAACACATACATTTAGCTATTAACATAGCTGCCAGGGCATGCACTAAAACACTGACCGCTGATCAGATCTTGGTCAACAGTCTTTTATCAAGAATAACGATACTTTAAATAGTTTTTATGTATCAATAAAATGATGAATTTGCAGTCGAAAATATACGCAGATTCAGCGATTTTTGCAGAGAAATACTCGGTCAGTATTTTCTGCAAGTTCAATGACCAACTTCCAAAAGCGACCATTATAATAATATTTCCGAACACCTTTTTCGCTAAATACCAATTTTTAATGACAGACGATTTCAACAGGCAGAAAACAAAGCATTTAGAAAGGTTTCACATTCTTGGAAAAAAATACAAGCCCGTTTTAGGCCTAGATCTACCATGCACTGACGTGACTGACTAAAGGGTGACTGACAATGCGACAAGACTGCAGATTCGGCTGCAAATCCGTTAGAAGGTCCTATATATATTTCACTGATACATACAAACTCCCATAAATATCGTTAATTTTGATAAAAGAGAAAGTGAAACCCAAATTTACCAAGATCTGGTCAGCGGTCAGTTTTTTAATAATCCGCAGAATCCGCATTTTAGATATGGCCATGTGGGTTGATTTGCTGTCGCGTCGATCGTGTCGGGGTTCATGTGTTGTTCAATGGCTTTTGAAAGAATAGAAATTCTTGTTTTAACAAGTACTTGCTTGGTCAAGAAATATGATTTACGACATTAGATTCTGTATTTAAAAAGTAGT